CATCTGCAACCTGTGGCTTTTTGGTGCAATTGCCTTTGCTCTTCTTTTTTGCAGATGGTACTGCCTCTGGGCCTTTTTGCTGCTGGCGGCTTCTCTAAGAACAGCTTTCCTCACAGGAATGGGTTCAGTCCCCATGGCTTCATCGAGCAGGCTGCCGCCCAATGAGGACTGTGTGGCAGGAATAGCCATGTTCAGCAAATTTTCTGTTTTCACAGAAGTTGGTGAGCCACACTTGGGAGAAGCTGGTGTTTCCTTTGATGCCTTCACAGGCAGACCTGGTGACTTGGGCTCAGGTGGTTCAGGGACAAGTAATTTCTTCATTCTCTCAAGCTTGCCCACCTGGAAGTGAGAGGCCTTGCTGCAAGCTTCTTGGAATTTTGAAGGCTGCCTGGACAATCTCCTGCAATGATTGCAAATGACAAGGATGCTTTCAGAGAGCTTACTGCTCAGCTCTGATTGCTCTTCCACTGGGAACCTCTCCACAATGCCAGGATACTGCCTGAGGGTCTCTTTGAGGCCAGTCTTCAGATCACTGTACTTGAGCTCAAGGCTTTGGCTGACCTTGTGCAGGTCAGCCACCAAATCTTCCATGTCACACAGGCTGGAGGCAACCACTGCCTGCTCCCTGGTCAGGTTGTGGTACTTGCCAAAGCAGAAAGCATGTTTCACACCCACTCTGACATAGCCATTGAGAATGTCTAACAAATGCTCCACATCAATGTCAGGATTGTCGAGCCCATTTGGACACTTGGGGCTGTCCAGCCAATTTGGAAAACACTTGGGGCTGTCCAGCCCATAAAGACCTACAGTGGAGGCTGTCCAGCCTTGAAAAACCTCTGTTGAAAATTCAATCGTTTTGGTCTTTGTTTTTCAATCGAAATAGGTTTTTGTTTAGAGACATTTCTATTGAAAATGGTTCCAAAAATTCAATCTTCAATTGAAGATTGATTTTGTCAAAGCATCAATCGTTCTATTGAATTTTTCCCCGCATCTTAGTGTGGGGTTCTTCTTTTCTATCTCTCATCCCGCCTCCCGCCGCCGCCGCCACCGAGACAACACACACAGAGATCACAACACAGAGATCACACACACAGAGATCACACACACCGAGACAACACAT